GTGGGGCAGGGCGAGGACCTCTGCTGCGCTCGCACACGCAACGGGACCACATACGTAGCCCCCTGAGATCCCTGCCACCATGCCACTGCATTCCCACGGGTAACCCGACACCACCCAAAACCTGCTCCAGACCACGCGAGGCCATGCAGGGAGGAGCCACCCGCCACACAGCCCCACACCCCCAGGAAATGACTTCCAGTCCCTTCTTTGCAATTCTGATCCGCCCCCCACACCTGAGACGGTCAGTAAACAGAAAGTGGGGAGCAATGGGCTTGGCCCCCAGGCCACGCCCGGGCTCCATCCCAATGCCCCCCCCCAGCCTTTCCCTGGTTTCCCATTTCCTCAGGAACAGCAAACCAGGAGGGTGAGGGCCTGAGCAAGAATGGAGGCCTTCTCCCACTGTAGCTCTCACAGACCTGAAGGAAATAACTCAGCCTCTATATTTTGACTCAAAACAAAGAAACTTTTTAAAAACATTTCAGTTGAAACTTGCATAATTCTTCCAGTGGAGAAATCCTCCCCGACTTTCGCAATCCTTAGAAAGAGACACATAATTGCTGCTTGTGTAACAGTCTCCGGGCCACGAAGAGTCCGGCCGCCGGCCTCGGCCACCTCCCGCCACCTCCCGCGGTCACCTCTCGCCAGACAGCCAGGGCTGGCCCCAGAAGCACCACGTCCCCCGCCCCCCCCCCCCGCAGCTCCCCGCAGCCAGGGCTGTGGGGCGGGGCCCGGTCACACTCCCCCAGACTTCCTCCTGCTCCTGGCCTGTCTGCCCTCGCCCGACATCTCAGACACACATTACACAAACCGGCTGCAGGGAAGGCTGAGAAACCGAGACGCGGAGAGTCCGTGACCCTACTCCCGAAGCCCTGTGCTGACTGGGGGACCCCGGTGAGGGAGCAGGAACAGAGGCGAAGGTCACCCAATGACCCTGCTGCCCCCGGCCAGCTGCCGCCCTGAGGAAACCCCAAGAGGCTAGGGGCCTGGCCCAGCTCCAAAGAGGGGTCCTGGAAACTGGCAGGACAGCCAACAGAGGGGCAGACAGACAGATGGGCAGGCAGCCCACACCTGGAGGACCATCCAGACACGGCTCTGCACATGCAGCCAGGCCGAGGCACCCGGCCAGCAGGGAGGCCCTACTCACTCTCGCACGGCCCACTACAGGGCGTAGCGAGAAACCGGAGGCCTTGTTCAAGCTGTCGTATCCCCCATTTGAGAAGACTCCCCAACCTTCACTCTGCGGCCTTCACCTGGTGACCAGACCGACTCGCAGACCCCATCCTTCTGCATGGCCGGGGCGGGGGGAGGCCAAGGCCCGTCCAGGAACTTTGTCTCACAGCATCACCTGAGATGGCACCCCACTTTCTCAGCCAAACGTCTGTTACCAGGAAATCACCATGGAACCCCACGAAAGCCTACAGCAAAACAAGGGGACAAAGGGACAACCGACCCTCTAAATCTCTGCGGGCACAACAGATGGCATCAAGGTAAAGCCAGTTCCCCCATGAAAGAGGGATCCCAGGTGAAGCATGCAGGTCAGAGTCTATGTCCAGCCTGATGGAACATTCTTGATAGCATTCCTTCCCAAGATAATTTCAGCTTAAAAGAGCAAACCACATCTCACTAGGGGAGTGTCCACAGGCTGGAACCCCCTTCCTGGCCTGTGGACTTAAAAGCTGCAGTCACTCCCCCACAGGGGCCACAAGACTCCATGCCCCCAGTGCTGCCGGCCGGGTCTCTGCTTTGAGAAAACACTGCCCTGTGACCAGGGGAAAGTTTCAGATGACCCAAAGAAAACCGTTCCAATGTCAGGAATTCAGACAAATCCAGTCGTGGGCACTCACCCCACACCGGGCCCCTGGAGCAAAACGGCCCACACAACAAGCCCCCTCTGAGAACTTGGGTGTCTGAAAGACAAGGGTACGATAAACAAACCCAGGCCAGGCTCTCCAACCCGAGAATCAGGACACCCCGCAGAACAAACAGCAGTTCCAAGGAACCAGTTTCTGGAGCGCGGGCCCCGGGGAGGCAGAGCACCGCCCTGTGGTCGGCCCAAAAGGGAAACACCTGGTGACCCAGCAAGGAGCCGTCCTGTGGGGTGAGGAGCCAGGCCCCAAGCAGCAGCCAAGCCGGCAGCACGGATGTCCTCCTCTGCCGGCAATCTACACGGCCGGACAACTGGCCCACTTTAGTCCAAACACCATGAGACAAGCCCAAGAGGAAGGGACAGAGCCAAGTGGGCAGAACAAGAGTGGAGAAGGCTCTGAGTCCCCATCTCCTGGCCACGTGTTCCCCCAGCAACAAAATGACACATCCCCACCCCACCTGACACTGGACACCTGAACACCCTCAAGAAATAAAACGTCACCATCACACCGCTTGCTACAGTCCCCATTTCACACGAGGAAACACAGAGACAGAGAGGTTAAGCAACTGGCTCGAGGTCACACAGCCAGGAGAGATGTAATGAGGCTACGGGAGCAGCCCCATGGGGTTCCACAGCTGGACTGGCCCACTGCAGGACAGCAGGACAGCAGCCTGGGGGGAAGGGGCTCAGAGGCTGCTCCCCAGCACTCCGGAGGCCCCTCCTGGCACAGGTGGCAACAGAGTGCTGACCGGTCTCCGGCTGGCAGGAGACTGGGGCAGCACTTCAGCTCCACAGCCTGGAACGCGCTCCAGCTCCCGTGGCCTCACCAGAACCCAAGGCCCTAGGGGAGCCGTGGCCCTACACAGAGGATTCCACCACATTCTTTGTTCCCTGCTGTCCTCATCCTTAGTAAATCAAAAACGTTAAACTAACCTAACAAACAACTGAAAAAATTCAAGATCTATTCCATGAATAAACTGTCAAAGGCAAGTGCAAGGAGCAATGAGAGATAGGCAGGGCTCGGGGATGGGGGGGTCTTCCCAGGCAGCTCCATCCGGAGCAAGTGGGCTCTGGGCAGCTGGGGATCTCCGCCCACCCTGAGCTGATACCTGCCTCACGTGGTGCCCTCGGCATGTAGACAGACGAGCACATGGCTCTGCTAGGAGATTTAAAGAGAACGATGCACCCCAGGACTCCCAACTGTGTGGTCACAGAGCCAAGGAAGCAGGCAGAGCCCCAAGAACAGGACAAGCAGAAAAAACTGGCAAGGGAAGCGCCCCACGAGGTGGCAGAGCCAGCAGGAGAGCACTCGAGAGCTCAAGGAAGCCTGGGGCCGGGCGCGCAGGCCAGGTCACCACCACGAGGACAGGCTGGCTGACACTCGGGCCTGGAGACCCCACCCACTTACGATGAGCAGCTTTTCCTCGTCACGGGGGAAATGTTTGTCTCATCAGTCAATGAGATTTAGAGCAGCATCAGGGAAGGCACTGAAGGAGAAAGGGCGGCCCTGATCATCTGCTGAAAAGGCCGGAGCAGAAACAGGCTCTGGCCTCTGCTTTCCGGACTGCAGGGACCAGTCCTGCTTCTCCCCAGGCAGTGCTTGAGCCTGAGCGCTCAGGCTGGGCCTTCCCTGAGCTGGAGGACGGCCGCGCCCACAACCACGGGCGCCTGCTCCGGGAGAAGCCGGGCCCGGGTCTACGGCTGTGACAAAGGGCCAGCCCCCACCACACACCCCTCACGCCCAACTCAGACACCGACACAGACACACCCTGCCACACAAGGTCTTCTGCCACCTGTGCTGGAGGTAAGTGGCCTGCCACGGCTCGGCCACAAGCTGCAGGCCACAGTGGCCGTGGAAGGTACGGGCGCCCCAAACAGAAAAGCCCCCGGTTCCCATAGGGTGCCCATCTCGCCACCCACTACCAAATCATCTGAAATCAAAGGCTTGGGCCTTTCCTGCAGCATCCTCCCCTACTCAGACCATCCCTCCCGCCCAACCCCTGCCCCACAATCTGCAGACAGCTTGCCACCTGGGCAGCGACACAGCTGAGGGCAGAAATGCCACCGAAAGCATGTGCACACGCACACACAGCAGCCCCCTCCGAGCACAGGCAACAGGCCCCCACATCCCCAGCCCCTCCTCTGCTCACCGAGACTCTGACACTCCTCTGGAGGGGCGCCCGGATAAAACCGGGCGGGAGCATCTATTCACAGATTTAGAAAAAAAAGTTTGATGCAGTAGCTGAATTAATTAGGCCTCCTCAGAATAGCTGAGCCAATGCAGCATTCTGTGTATGCAATTTAATAAGCCTGGATATTTAAAATAAAAGTTACAAATACTTGGGGAGGGGAAGACACCATGAAAAGTTGGTGAGGACCCCAGTGGATGGCCTCAGGGTCCAGTGGCCTGGGAGCCACCCAGCCAGCTACCCAGCAGGATCACACACATCCTCGCCTGGCAAACAACAGAGCCTGGGCCAGTGGCCCTCCTCCGCCCGGCAGCGTTTCAGAAAGAGGGAGACAAGGAAACGGGCGTGTCCAAAACAAATCACAGGCCATGAGCTACTCCTACGCAGGGCCCCAGGTGCCCGCTGACCAGGCCCCAAGCCCAGGGCCAAGCGGCCCTTGCCCCCACACTGGGGGACTCTGGGATTCACACCCTGGCAGGCGCAGGGAAACACACAGAGCTGGAGTCGCCGAGTCTCGGCCCCCTGCCACCGTGGCCTGGACACCTGGCTTTGTTTCTGAGTCTCTCCCAAGGCTTCAAGGCACAAACAGGCCCCACCGGGCCCAGTTCTGTCTGCTGAGGACCACGGGCAAGAACCCCTCTGTCAGCAGGGGGTGGGGGGGAGGCCTTGGTCTGCATACCTCCTCACCGCCCCCGAGGAAGACCTAGGCCTGAGGCTGCAGCCTGGGCCCAGCCCAGATCTAACTTCCCAGGACTCGGAGCAAGACTGTTTGAATGCTGAAGCCTGCCCTTCCCGGCCCATCAGGGCAATGGCTGTGGACATCAGGAAGGCTTCTCCACCCACCAAGCCAGCCACCCTCCCCCTGCGCCCCGCCCCCCCCCACCACTGGGGCCACCCACGCCAAGCAAGCTGGCTCATCACAGGGGTCGAGCCAGAGAACCTTCCTACACTGTCGGTGGGGATGACGATGCTACCCTGAATTTCCCTGAAATAGATCCAAATCCCGAGACAAGCCCTAAACTGCACAGACAGAGCCCATGGCCCAGGAGGGCCCCCCAGCTTCCAGGCCCTGGGGCCCAGCACACCCAGGGTCCTCCCACTCCCACAGCCAACGGGACACTCACCCGGGGCACCCGCCGCTTGTACTTGTTGCCATAGTCAAACTTCTCCTTCACGTCGTCCAGGCAGCGGCCAAGGCGCGCCTGTTCCTCCTTGCCTGTGTAGTCCTGGCTCAGCAGGATGTAGGCCCGCCAGTTGGCCGAGTCGAAGCCCCAGTGGCAGGTCCGGTTCTCCAGCGCCTTGTGGGAGTGCACCACGAACTTGTGCGGGGGATACATGAGGCGGCAGTCGAGGCACTGGATGCAGGCGGCACTCGGGCTGCTGTAGAGCTCGGGCACCAGCAGCCCCTTACACTTGCCGAAGCACTCGTGGTACACACGCACGCTGCGCTCGCTGAGCTCCAGGCCCAGCGCCAGACTGGCGGCCAACTCCTTCTTGCAGGGCGGCGGGTAGGCGCCGCCGTAGAGCAGCGCGTTGCACAGGCGCTCGGCGTCCGTCTTGGTGATGAGCCCGCACGAGGGCGCCGAGAAGGGCAGAATGCCCATGACTTTGAGGATCTCCAGCTGGTCCGCCGTGCAGCGCGAGCAGTAGATGTGCAGCTCGTCGCACACCGAGTTGATCTGCTGCAGCGAGAAGTCGCGCAGCACCGAGTTGAGGATCTGCGGCAGGCACAGGCGCTTCTCGCCGCCCACCACGAAGCACGAGATGGTCTCGCCCTCCAGCACGGTCTCGCAGCGCTCCGTGGAGCGGTCGGACGGCATGAAGAAGGGCCCGGGGAGCACGGGCGGCGGCGGCTGGATAGCTGGCAGGTGCAGCACGGGCGGCGGCTCCGCGGCCGCGGGCACCGGCGCCGGCACCGCAGCCGCGCTTGCCTCCTTGGCGCTCTCCTTCTTGTAGGCCTCCTGCGCCCAGCGCGCCGAGAAGGCGGCCGGGCCGCCCAGCGAGCTCATAGAGCTCAGGTGGAACTGCTCCAGCGTCTTCTGCAGCCCCGGGTGCGGC